TCTCATTTCTTTCTTTTTCCTTCTCCTTTCTTTCTTTTTCCTTCTCCTTTCTTTCTTTTTCCTTCTTTCATTCTTTCTTTCTTCTTTCTTTCTCCTTTCTTCTTTCTTTCTTTCTTAATTTCCCTTATACGTATATGCGGAGTAATATACGTGCTATATGGAAAGTTACGTAATGCTGCATGAAAAACCGCGGAATTTCGACAGAAAAAATTCTTAATTTTTCGCCTTCCTAATTGTAGAAAGAAAATGTTATTTTAAGAATATTAAAGAACAACAAAACCTCTAACCAAATGGCAATTTTTTTTTAACTTTCGGCCGTTTTTAAGAAAATGGCATTAAGCGCTACTATAAATTCGAAATTTTAACCTCTTTTCACGGAAAATGTTTCGAAAAAATTTATATAACATTTCAAGCACTTTCAGTCACAAATACAATTCTGTTTACAAATTGCTGGAAATGTGTATATTAAAGCCGCGAGAGATCTTTCAAATAATTACATAGGTATACGTTCAATTAGAACTCTATGTTGGTTTGAAAACAAGTTGGAAAGTTAGAAAACAAAATTGGAGCCACTTTAGAGAAAATGGTGGTCGGGCGTTTCTGCAAATGCAGAATTTTGTGCTTATTTTCAAGGAAAACTTGAGTTTTGGGGAAACTTGATCACACATTATATGAAGCACATGGGCTCATAAATACATTAATGTAAAGAAATTGCCGCTAATGTAAATATTGACCACTTGAGAAACGTCGAAAAAATTACAATTTTTATCATTTTTGAAAAAAATCAAAGAATAGAGCAATATGACGTTCGTCATCTTATAGAATTAATTTAGCACAAACCCTAGCAATCGTTTGAAGAAAAAAAATTGCAGCCGTTTTTGAGAAAATCTTGCTTTTGTATTTTTTTAAATTGCACATATTGCTTGCAATATTGTGAAAAAGCTGCTTTTTTTAAATGTGGCTAACCTTAATGAAATAATTCACTATTGGGAACAAATTTTATTTGAAGGACAAATCAGCGTGTTCAATTTTGTGGTTGTAAGAAGACGCCCGAAAAATTTCGAAATTTTCGAAAATTCAGAGTTAAACCTGAATATCTTACTTATACCACGTTTATAAGTATATTTTACTCTATTCTTGCAAGAATTTGTTTCTTCGAAATCTCAAAGATTCGACTCGAGCCAGATCGACACGAGTTTCAATTTGAAAAACATCCTACGTGTGGGTTAGGTGCTAGCAGTGTTCAGTCACCAGTCGGGCAAACGGGTGGATGTTTTTTTTTTTTGGGGGGGGGGGGATACTCCTCCCCCAAAAATATCAAAAAAGAAAAAAGAACGGTATCAGGAGACCCCAAAACGTGTTTCTTTTGAAGTCTCGAAATCGATTATCAACAGCATTACATAACTTCTCCTATTTTAAGTGTATTACTTCGTATATAGGTACGTATATGGGAAAGTAGAAAGTGTATATATCCAGTTGCTAAATTAAGGGGGGAAAATTCTTTAACACGTGGTGTAGCCAGGATCCCTGTTTTGTGGATCTTTGACCCCGAAAAAAACCCAGTCCGTCAGTCTGTAAACGTAGCTAGCGCCAAAAAACAAGTACGATTTTTTTCCCAAAATGGATATTCTCCGGTCGATCTGGCTCCATTCAAGACGCCCCGATTTCACTCCAAATTTTAGGGATACTACATGAAACCCCCCGGACATTTTCAAAATGTTCTCAAAAACGGTTCTAACTTTTTTCTTTTAATTTCTTGTAAAGGTAGAGTATAATACTCTTATAAAAGTATCCTAGGTTCGATTTTCAAGGTTCACTCTGAATTTTCGAAGATTGTAAAAGTTCGATTTTTTTTCGGCATCTTTCTACAATGAAATTTATAGCTTTTCTTCAAATAAAATTTATTCTCCATGGTGAGTCTCTTTTATTAAGGTAATGTACACTTTTTTGAAAATTTTAGTAGTTTTCACGAAATATTGTAACGTGTACAATTTAAAAAAACAAAAAAACAACAAGATTTTCACAAAAAACACTTAAAATTTATTCTTTAATTTAACTTCTGGAATTGATAGTGCTAAATGTACTCTATGATATGATATAAATGTCATATTGCTATTCTTGTTTATTTTCTTTCTCAAAATTAACTTTTTTTTTTTTTTTTTTTTTTTTTTTTTTTTTTTTTTAACTTGTCTCTCACGTCATTAATATGTAGAGTAGCGGATATTTATTCACATAATATTTATGAGACATGTCCTTTAAATAATGTCATATATAGTCTCTCGAAAACTCAAGTTTTGTCTGTGAAAACTGGCACAAAATTCATTTTCAGAAACTCTCAAACACCATTTTCTCATAAATGGTTCCACATATTTCTTCAAAATTTTCGAACTGACAGTGCTTATTGCATTCTTTAATATGACATAAAGGTAATTTCGTGTTTGTTTTTTTTTTTTTGTTTGTTTGTTTGTTTGTTTTTTATGCACAAATGTAATATTTTTGAAACATCTCAGATGACGTTAATATGCACATTTCTAGGAATTTTTAAACACTATTGTATTTATGAGTTATGTGCTTGAAAATACTTTAAATTAAATTTTCGAAAACTCAAAAATTGTTTGTAAAAAAGAGAATCAAATTTCGAATTTATAGTAGCACTTAAACACAATTTTCTTAAAAACAGCTGCAATTTTTTCAAAGAAAATTACCATTTAAGACGTAGTTTTACTGTTTTTTAATGTTCTTGAAATAATATTTCCGTTCTACTATCGGGAAACCGAAAAATTAAGAAAATGTCAAAAAAAAAAATTGTTTTTGGCGGCTATAGATGGCAAGGTGCAAGAGTAGGTGGCAAGTCCAAATAGCTAGCCAAGACCAAAGGAAATAGAAAACTAATATGGGAAAGTCTGTGCCATTGTGTCTGTGAAAGTCTGTTCCTTCCTTCACATTTTACAAAATGAATGAAAAACAAAATTTTTTACTTTCAAAGAAATTAATTATTTGAGCTGCCATGTGTAAGTAACTGCTTTTCAATTCCTTGAATTGTTTTCAGGATAGGGAAGAAAAATGATTATTATTGATCTACTAAAACTGCTGAATGCACTAGAAATAATCAACATTTTATTTAAGCTAGTACATTATATTAACAATAATAATTTTGCCAGACAAAAATAGAAAATTTTAATAAATTGATTTCCAAAGACCATTAGGCTTGTAGGAGTTGATATTCCTTACAAACATCAACTGACAAAAAGCAGACTAACCATTATGAAAAGAACTTCTAACAGAATTAAAGATCTAATTTGTAGATAGCCACAAGCCACTAACTGACAGCAGATGTTATGAACATGCTTATCATGTAGAGAAAAGTATTTAATGGCATATTAATTGTTTTATTATGTTCTTGTTGTAAATAAAACTTTTATTTTTCTTTCTTTCATGTCTTTTTAAATTTTTTTATTAAAAGTCGTTTTAAAATATTTTATAAAATCCTTCCTAGAAGGAAGAGGAATTTTTTGTTCTTTGATAGTGAAGTTTTGATAGCGAAAGTCTCTCAAAATGTGCTAATTCTGAAGGACTAATTGTATTGCAGATCCAATTGCATGTATGGTACATGCTGTTTGGTGGGCAAGACTTATACTATTGGCTTCCTGCGTTTCTGCAAACAAGTGACATTGCAATTTTGCCTGGTGAAACCAGTTATGGCCTTTGTTATCATAATTTTGCAAGCGTTTGGGCACTACAGAGATGGTGACTGGAGGTAAGTCTTCAATGACAGAGGTGCCATTTTCATAAAAGTCTAATTTTTCTGATTGCTTCAGTTTGTTGAAAAAAATAATTGTGTGTAATATGTAAAACTACAATAGTTTCTCCTATTACTTGTGAACTATTGTTGTTCACACATAATCATATCAGGAAATTGTAAGCTCAAGGGAGCATATATGATTGTTATTGCATACCCAACAGTTGCTTGGAAAAAGAAAAGAAGGGGAAAAAGAGGGGGATAGGGAAAAAGTTGATGGAATTTCGAGATTAATATATCAATATAGAAAATTTCATGAAATCAGATTATCTTTTGAAAAGCTTTTGTGGGACATATGAGGGCTATTCGGAAGCATAGACATTAACTATGAGGAAAGAAGTACATATGCGAGGGTGAGTGTATATGTATGAATGTGTGTGTGCGCGTGTGCGTGTGTGTATACGAATGTCGTTAGAGAAGAAAAAATTTGCCAAACTATTCATTTCATTAGTTGCTTTTTACTTCAACAAAGAGAATGACTTTCTAGATGGCTCTCATATGTACCTTTATGTTTTAGTATAAGATCAGACTAATATTGAGATTATGATCTGCTTCAGCCCTGATGGTGGTTACCTGTACATCACCATCATCTACAACATTTCTGTGAGCTTGGCGCTTTATGGACTCTTTTTATTTTATTTTGCAACAAAAGATCTCCTGACTCCCTTTGAACCAGTTCTTAAATTCTGCACAGTGAAATCTGTCATTTTTCTGTCCTTCTGGCAAGGTGAGTACTTGTGGAGTGCATTCAAGTTGTTTGGATGGACTTATTAATTTTTTAAATATTTGATTTTGAATCGTTTACATTTTCAATCAGTAATGGATTTAGGCATGGGCACTGGTTCCTGGGCAGCAAATGTTTGGGGGCTGCAGATTTTCTTTAATCCAAAAGTTTTTTTATTCAAAAAATTATTTATTGACAGGAATTACAATAGCCCATGTTAATTCAGTAAGGACACTTGCGCTTGGGCAGCAAAGAATGTTATTGTGCGCTTTTTTTAAACAAAATTATTAAATCTCAATTTTTTTTAGTACTATAACTTCACTATATAGCACGTCAAATCATATCTTTTTTCTTATGTAAACACATTTATTAAATGACCGTAATGGAAGTAAATAAAAATAAATATTGTATTACATACATTTTCATAGCTGTTTTTTTCTTCAGTTAGTGATATTTTGGTTAATAATAAGACAAAACACAACAAAAAGATCAAAAAATATGTGAGTTATACATGACCAAGTTTTAACTCTATCGATAAAAAAAAGGCAACTTTTAATTTATAATTAACAAACAATTGGTCCATGATCTCTTGAAAGTCAATACGTTCTGTGTGATTTTAGATAACTTAGTTTGCAAGTTAACTCAAAAAAGAAAAAAAAGCTTACAAGATCAGCGAAACATTCTTCATAATTTTAGAACTTTGAAATTTGAATTCAAGTAATCCAAGAGAAATCAAATTTGTTGCGAGACTTCTGTGACATAGATTTAGAAGGCACAGCGAGAAATGAAGTGTGAAGCATGTCGTGCGTAGTAAAAAAATTGAAAATTTGTCTCCAATGAATGATGAAGTTTCTTCATGACTTGTAAATGGTATATTCCAACGTTGATATTGCACACCGGATGATTATTTGCGCGGCAATTAGTAATTGCAGTGCTGAAAGATCGTTTTTGTGTTTGAAATGAGTGAAAAACTGCCTTAGATCAACAATGACCAAAGATCGATTGAATGCGCTTGCCTTGTTGGCAATAAAATTCGAAATTTTTAAATCAATATTCTGTGATGATCTCATCGACCAATCAGCTATCACCACAGATTGGGAATGATCTGCATTTTCACATTTAGCATTTGTGCTAATGCAAATGTGCTATGTACATTTTTGTGCATATTGCCAAAAAATTGTAAAAATGTAGCTGTACTTAAATTTAACTATCAGCATCAAAACTTGCAAGTATTTGTTATGGCAATTATAATTTTGAAATTGCAAAAAGACCAGTTCATATCCTGTAGGGAGGTAACACACGAGGCCATTGGGTTTTGAGAACTTTTGAAAGGGAGTATAACATTATCTGTACTATGATTCATTGTTAGTCCAATGCCAGATACTGAAAATACATATTTAAACAAAAGTGGGCATGAAAGAAATGAAGTATGATAGAAATTTTCAACTCGTAAAAGTATTTTTAAAACAATTTACAGCATGTGCAATGCCACATTTTGTTAGTTTTGTTTATTTTATGTAATGTATTCATTTTATTATATAAAAGTTGTTTTATTACTTGAATAAATGCTTCAGAAATTATTGAAATTCGATTTTCTTTATTAAAAAATTAAGGAACGGGATAAAGGGCAGCATGGAGTGTAGTGCCCCATGTGTAAATACAACACTGTTTTCAATATATGATGGAGGTTGGTGGAAAAAATTTGCCGAATGAGAATAATTTTCGGAACATTTTTTTTCTTGAGTGACAATTTCTATTATACATAAACTTTTCTTATTTCATTAATTTAGAGTAGGATTTTGGAATCAAGACTACAAAAATTGCACTTTTGCTTCAGACCTGTTTTCATGTGATTTATAGATAATATGTTTATTTATTTCATGGAAATTATCCTTTATTCATGTTTTTGATACATTATGAAAAAAATTGATTCTGCTGCAAAATTTGCAAAGTAATCAAAACAATTTGAGTTTTGCGCTATTTATTGCATGATTTGTTTATTGTCCAACAGGTGTTTTGCTGGCAGTTCTAGAGAAAGCAGAAGTCATTGATCCCATTATGGATGCCAACAATCAGCACACAAGTGTGGGTACTGTGTCTGCAGGTTACCAAAATTTCCTCATCTGTATTGAAATGTTCTTTGCCGCCATTGCACTGCGATATGCCTTCCCTTATCAAGTGTATGCCCAAGGTTGCATCACTGATTCACATGGTCGCAGTGTCACAATGCAAAGCATTTCCAGCTCCCTGAAGGTATGGATTTATTTCTTGAAAATCAGGTCATAAGTTGGACCCATATTTATCTTAAAGTTACCTAAAGAACAAAGAAATGAGATTGAACATCAAGGAATTTTCAATAAAGTTATAAACCCTAATATAATTTTATTTCTATATTCTTCAGCTTAAATTTCAATTTAATTTCTTAATCTCTTTGCCTTAAAATCCGCCTTTAGAGATGAAAATATTGTAACATCAAAAATTTTAAGTTTTTATAGTTTTAACTTTCTTGCCTTTTATTTACCTTTTCGTTCATAACAATTGCTATGTTTGAATTACCAGAACTTTGAATTTTCTGCTCATTTACTCTTTGTAATCTTTCTTCCCTCTTTCTCTGCACTAGTTGTATATTAGTGGGCTGAGAATTAATATTTCTAGGTTTTCTACCCTTGAATTAATAAACTTTCTGGTTACAGTGTTAGAGTTCTTTATGTATATTCTTTCTTATGCGCATCTTTTTATGTGTGCTAAACAAAAACTTTATTTGCAGGAAACAATGAATCCTAAAGACATTATGACAGATGCTATTCACAACTTCCATCCACAGTATCAACAATACACACAGTACAGCTCAGGTAAGTTTTGTAAAAATACATTTGCTTGGGAATGAATTGGTCCAGAGCATGTCAAACAGTCCCATATGCATGTATTACAGAATCCTTTACCCTGTAGCACCCAGTTTCAAAACAAAAAACACTGGAAGAGCCATGAAGGTTCACGTGCTAAACTTTTTTTAAGAAACAAATTATGATAATTTAACTTAAATTTTCTTTTGTGGTTAAATTATTGATTTTGAGTAATAGTGCATATTGGTTCTGACAAAGTTCAGGCAAGAATTTTGACTTCAAATTTTCATGAAATTTTAGCAGAATATTTGTCCAAATCTTCCAATTCTTTCTAGGCATTTAGGCAGTGAATTTTCTGTTCTGTTTTATGGTACATTTCTCAAGAAATATTCAATATTAAAGATGTTGAATGCTCCTTAAATATGTTTTTTTTTAAAATGCAAAATAGATTGGGCTTAAGTATACAAAAAACATACTAGCTTTCCTATATTGCCAAAAATGAAAAGAATTAAAACCTTCATTAAAATGAACTTCAGAAAAAAGTGTAGATCACATTTGTAGACATATTTATAGATATCAGAGCACTTATAAAATCTTATTGCACATCACATTAATTCAGATGTAGTTTTTGGTATTAATATGTTTAAAATAATTCATAATAACAGTTTCATTTTATATGGTAACATTTAGTTGTCAGACCAGATACATTGAAGTTCTTGAACATGTTTGGAATATGTTTAATTTTATTTCCAAATCAGCCTCTTGTCAATTTGTCCATTTGATCAAAATTTTAATAATTTTTGAAAATTGTGTAACAAATGTACAATTGACTTAGAAATTCTATTTGAGTTATTTTTTGTAGTACTTAATGTCTGTTGTATAAGTAGCCAAATTATTATTATTATTATCATTATTATTATTATTGTTGTTGTTGTTGTTTTTGAGATGTTTTTTAACACGTAAATGTTAATAAGTAAAAATAACACATAGGTCTGTTAATTAACAATATGATCAATAATAATAATAATAATAATAATAATAATAATAATAATAATAATAATAATTACAACAACGACAACAATCATAATTTGTTTTAATTGCCTCTGTAACTTAAATTATTAAAGTTAAACCTTCGTTAAATGTAAACTGATTAAATTATAGCAATATCAGAAAAAAAGAGATGGATTGAGAGAAGACATCTTATGTAATACAAAGAATTTAACTGCAATTAGTGGTTATTTGAAAAAGTTTATTTTCAAAAAATTCGATAAGCATATTATTCTGGTTATTTTCTTAACCTGCAGACTAATGCATATTTTAACATGAATTGCAAGGAATTCAGGGAACATTCTTAAAAATATAACCCATAAAAGACTTGGTCTCCTTATTGCAAGATTTCTCAGTTTTATTACCTACTGGCATAAAGTAAATGCTGTTACCTTTCTTGAATATTCAACTTTGCCTTCTTCTTCCCATGTTAACCTAAGATTACTCGCTATAAAAATTACCTAATTGCTCAAAATTTCTTTTAAATTGCTTTTTGAAATCTCTTTTGAATTTTATTAAAAACTTTATTTTTACCATCAGGAAAGTTTGGAAGTTCTGCTCATTTAATGAATTTAAAACATTAGTGTACCATTAATGTTTTTGGAAGCACAACGTTTGATTTCATCTATTCTTTGTCATTGTAAAATAATGCATGTTCTTCAACTTTTCTAATCTTTCTCTCGTTAATAAATTTGCTTTCAAGTCTAATTTTTTCCCCCTCATTAAACCTGCAATATAATGAACTTTTCAGAAATTGTTGTATATTTTCAAGACCAGAATGTTTTTATAAATATTTTGTAAATTATTTTTAAGTAATTTAACTTATTTAATTACGAACCGGTGTCTGATGAGTCAATTGCTCACATGTACATTCTCACACACTGACATCAAACAAATATATAAAAAAATGACTAATAGACAAATATATAGAAAATGACTTTGGGAGCTGAATTTTATATCAAGAAATTCTTGCTTATCCAAAAATAGTTTTAGGTTGCAAAAACCTTGCAATATTGTCAGATTTGAGTTATCAATCATGTGATAGCAAATTACAGTAAATGGAACCAACAAAATCAATTCAATATTTATTTAGAGAGTTGTTAGATATATAGTCTGTTATTTTTAACACATTATAAAAATAGCATTGTAAAATAACTTCTAAAAACAGTGTTCTGTGTCTTTACATTTTGGTCAGTAACTAAGTGTTGTGCAGAAAGAAATATCATTTAAAAGAGGCTGATTTGAAAATAAGATGAATACCAACTGGTAACCATCCCAACCTGTGCTTCTTCACTTACGCTGCGCTTCAAAAGCTTAAGCAAGCTGCGCTTACAGGCTATGTATTCAATTTTTTTCAGAAGTCAATTCGAATCAACCCTACGAGAAACTATGAACATAAATGGAAGGTTTGGAGTTTATTCAGTGATAACACTGCGAGCAATCACTTGCATCACCCACTTCACCTCAAGACAGCCTTTTTGTTTGTTTGTTTTTTGTTTTGCATATCAGTGCATGACATTTTGTATGAGCATGGGATATCATTGCTTGTACAGAATTGTAAATTATTCTACTTAATATTTGATGTATTATAATTTAAGCATTGAATACTTAAAAAAATATGAAGTAGATTGGCAGAATGTTGCTGTCCTGGAATGGGTTAAATTTTCTTTACTTGGGTATCCAAGGTTGTTGCATTGTGAAAATGTTACAGTCTAGAGATAAAATTAAAAATTATTTTCTGATGTTCTAACGTTGGTAATTATTAAAATGCATTAAGATATGAAAATAAAAAAGAATCATTGTCTCACATATGGTGAAAATTCTCATTTGATAATTCAAAACATTTGAAACCATATGATAAATCTTGTCTGTTTGCCTAACAATTCTCTATTAAATAATGTAATAACAGCAAATGTAGTGATCTATAAATTGTCCAAATTATCATTATTATTATTATTATTCATCAATACCTGCTGTTCAACAAAACAGTCCAAATTAAATTTTAAATGAATGCATTAGTTCTTGAAAATGCATCCATTTCATCATATCATTAATCATTAATCAAACAATATTTATTTGTGTCTCAAAAGATTTTTGCTTAGTCATTTTGTGAGATTTGATGCAACATTCTCAACATACACATTTGCCAACCTTAAGACTCAGAAAGAGAAAGCTACTTCATTGGTGAGTACACCTGGAAGGGTCACCACAGATCAGTTTCTCTTTACATGAAAAGCTAATGCATGGTCAGAAATGTATCAAAGAGTATTACAAAAGCAACTTGAAGTCTTTGGTTAACTCTGATTTTTTTCCCAATGTCCTACCAAAGGCTTTGTGCCTTTTCAATAACTTTCTTCACTTGTGTTATTTACAAAAAAATGAAAATCGAACCTGAAAAATTGAAATAGAAATTGGTATCATAATAAAATGCTTTCCCTAAGAGTTGGAAGTATCTCCAGTAACAGGTAGATGAACTCAAAAAATTGAAGGAAATCAGAAGCCTTTTTTAAGGTTTTTTCATTTGACCAATAACAAAGTGTTTTACTGGTACGGATACTGAAGAGTTAACTTTGTGCATGTGCTTTCTTTTTATTAAATTTGCTTGCTTTTGTGACAAAATAGTTGCATTCTTGGTTATGTCACATTGTGACTGTTTTTCAAAGAGGCATTTGTTTCAGTTGACATTCCTTTTAATGATGAAAGCTGTCATGAACATGTATTATAGTACTTTTTGTTAATGTACTGAGAATATTGATAATTGTATATACCAGACCACAGTATTTTTATTTTCATCTAGATGTGCTTTTATTTTGTCTTAACCAGTGTCATAGAGTCATCCACATACACTAAACATTCTTAATAGGTTTCATATTTCTCATTCTTGTTTCATCTCAATATTATAGGTAACTTGATATCCATGCTCACTAACTAACTGACATTATTTTCTTTGTCTCAAAAAAATGTTTACTCTTTTAAAAATATTCAGATTTAGTTAGTTGAATTTTTTGAAAATTTCAAGAATAAAGGTTTGAAAAAATTATATTTTAGTGCAGAAAGACTTTTCGATGAGTGTTAAATTTTGATTTAGAAATCATATTAAAAATATACATATATAAATGCGAAGATACGATTTGGGACTGAAACTAACATAAATGTTTTTTGTTTTTTTTTAATAAAATTAATTAGTTAAGCTGGTATCCTTGGGATTTTATCATACTGGGTATATTAACTTTAAATGATATAAAAAGTTTTAAAGGGACGTGTTCATTTGTTCTGCAAAGGGATTAAGGTTGTTTAATTGGAAATTCATTATTAAAAATGATGTGATCTGTAAATTTATTTTTTTTCCCTTGTTTTTTTACACCATCATATAACATTGTGGATGACTCTGTAGACTAGTCTTTGGCACCCTTGCAATTTTGTGATAGGTTTTGTAGATATCTTACTAATGCTGAAGTACTTTGTTATCTACTGTGTTATCTACTAAATCTACTGTGGTTAAGACATTCTTACACTTGAGCACAGCACATTCCATTGGTCCTTATATTGTAAAATTTTATTTCTTATGTTTAAGTATTAATTTAATTAGAATTGATTGTAAGATTTTTATTTTATTTTGACTCTGGAATTAAAGGAATATTTTTTTGTATGCATTTTTTTTTCGTTTTATTTTTGATGAAAAGGAGGTTTGCATATGATTCCTTTCCCCTTTTTAGAGACCCTGCAGAAATATAAATTGAAATTCAATGTATATTTTAGTTTTGATTACTTTATAGTAATGAATATGATTTCAGACTTAATAAGATCAAGATTATGTCATAAGTGATTTTTTCTATTAAAAGAAAAGAATTATAAATAAAATATTGAAAATGCCTGCTTGTTATGCATTGATGTTAAAAGCCCTAGCTTGTGCAAACGTTTGTGATAATTTAAGCTATCAGCTTTCCTTTTCTCAAAGATGGATGCATGTCGCTTACAAAAGGTAATATTTTTAATGACTTGTACTTTCAGTGCTCTACATGGATATAATTAATGCAGTAATTAAATGCAGTATTACTTAAATCTTCAATTACATTACTAGCGCCTGTGTTACAATATAAGATAATTTTATTTCTTTATTTATTTAATTATTTTAATTTTAATTTGGCAATGAGAAAAATCACCAAATGTTTTTGTTAGTATAAATAATTTTCTTATTTTTCATGTTTTTTCAATTAGTAAAGTTAATGTGAAGTCTTTTAAAAGAAATTAAAAGTAAAAGCATGTTTTTGGCTGAGGAGGAGAGTGTGGGAGTGAGAAGCCTTTCAAAATTTGTATTTTAATGTTAGAGTCATACTTGATTTTCTAATAAGTCATTTGATTTTAGGGTACATTTTACCATTTTATCGGGGAAACCCTTTTTTAAATCCCAGCCTATTCCTGTGACAGTTACAATACAAAACAATACATGCTCGTAAGTTGCACTCATGTTTCAAACAATTATTATTTTAGTCACTAAAAACACCCTTTTTCCTTTCTACTGTTAGACTTTAAACCTGTGATGTAGATGGATGGAAGTGAGGTATTGTGCAGGTTTACCATTTTTCACGTTGTGAAAAAGAGAACCTGTATCATCCGAAACCAAAATAATTTAATTTTTTACAATGAGCTTTTTTCTGCACTTTAGGAACAATTCATAAACACATTTAACAGTTGCACACTGAATTATAACATTATGCCTGTACTTCCACTCTCAAATACATCTAATGCTACTCTATGAAACTTGCTATAGAGAGATTACTATAAGAAGGAACCACTTTGACAGTTGCTATTTGGCCACTGCTGGCAACATAATTGGCTTTCCCCCCCCCCCAGTTAGCTAATTCATAAATAGCTTCATCACCATCTTTTGGAATGTCATCGCTTTACATGACATTCATTTGCTTTCCGACCTTTTGAAATTGGTCCCTTCTTAGAGTAACTCCTCCGTGTACTATGTACCCGACTTAATCATTAAGTAAGACTCCAACTCCCTCAGGTAACATAAGTTCAACGAAAGTGCTCTCCATTGGCTTGTCCATCCCAGTATATTCTCTTTAGTTAAAAAAAAATTACGGAAGTTTTTGTTTCATCCCAACTGTCAGTTTTTCCACAGAAAAGAGGGCACATCTGAGTAAAAGAGGTTGTACGGTAATCCTGATCTTGTGCACATAAGTGATTGAGCACATGTTCATACACATGCTGATATATCAGTCAACAAATTACAGTAGGCTTAATTTTATTAGCATATGTATTGTGATTAAGCTGTGACTTTATAGGCACGAAAAACTGCAGAAATAGGCAGGCAAAATAGGCATTTAAAAAGTACTATATATTTTCTTATCCTTATTTATGTTCTTGTGTAGAAAGTTTCTGAAGTAAATATAATAAAGTTATCTTCATGGAATTCTTGCTTTCATTATGTTCTGACAAATTCTTGTAGAAATCCATTGTTTAATTATTGGGCAATTCAGTGGGGAAAGGCTGAATCACAGTAGCTACCTATTTGCTTTTCCATTAGTGCCAAACTGATACTCTAAAGCTACACTGTATGATATTTTTTATCACATTTAATTTAAACTCTAGTGAAAATGTGACCGATTTGTTTTAATTGCCATGCAAAACACACAAATTGTAAGTAGTGGTATTATGACAGCACAACTTTCTTGCATTGCATCTGAAAATTTAATATTTCAATAAAATATAATTCAAAATTTGCAATTTTTAAAAATTCAGAGAATTTAACGAAAATGAGAACTATGCCATTCTTTTAAGTGTTCCTTGTTCTAGCAGTGAAAAACATTGAAGCATGGCTATTTTCAAAGATCCAATTTTTTAGAACATTAAAGACACAAATCTTTGTATTCAATATTGTACTTTTGCGATGTTAAATTTTTGCAATTTTCTAAAAGTCAGGGTTTGCAAAAAATTGAACCTGCACCCATTTTTATACCGTTCTTTGAAACATGCGAGTAGAAAATTTGAAGAAAAAATTGTAAAGTAAAAAATAACCATCAGCAATTTTGCTCATGTTTTATAATACCAAATACTCGCACTGTGGTGGCAATAAAACAAAACATAAATATATTTGATAGTTGTTCAATTTCTCTGTAATCTGTAATCTCTGTAAAAATGGAAAAAAAAGTACAAATTTGAAATTTTTTTATTAGAGAACATTGCATTATTAGCAATAAATATGAGTGTAGGCAACATTTAGGCATGTAAACTGAAAATGGGTATTTATAGCCACTATAAAATTCTTGTATAATGCTACTTATTCCTCAAAATGAATAAGTAACTTAAAATATTGCATTTTCCATTAAAGGGAAGTGAAAATATAGGCAAATGGACAAAAATCACAGCTTAATCATGATATACTCCCTATGATGGACACAAGATCTTTCAAAATAAAATTTTCTGCTATGAGCAAAAAAATTAATTTGTAAATTAACCATCCTTTCTTTCCTATGTAGATAATGTTCCTATGTAGATTTCTTCTTCCCTGTAAAATACTTCTCTCCCAAAAAATGCTTCAGTGGTAACAAACCTTTTTTTGTACGGGAGGTTATGTAATGATGGTCTTTTCAAGTACATTCTAAAATTTTGGATAATTCACTTAAGACGACTAAATAATAATTGAATCTTTATTGTTGTATAAACAATGAAAAATGTTAGTAACTGTAATTCTATTTCTGCTCTTTCACATGTATTAAATTTTTTTAGCACGCGAGGAAAAGTGCTTCAATCTCATCATTTTGGATGTGGCAATAAAACACATATTTTACTGAGACCCCAGACTTAACTGGAATTATTAATTAGTTAAGAGTATTATTGCTTCATATATTCACGAGGCACAAAACTTCCTTTTTAACCGTTCAATTTGAATTAAAATCTCTCAATTTTATTCACTCAATCGAATATTTTGCTTGTCACTATTATAAAACTAATTCTTCTCATCATAACTGCCATCTGCTAAGACTCAGCATGAGTTAGTCACATTTATCACATTATTTGAACTTTACTCTTGCATTGTGCTTTTATGCTGTAATTTACTACGCTCTTCTTCCAGAAGTGTTGCCATTTCAAACTGTAAACTAGCTTCTCTTAATTTTCGCTTATTCCTATTGATATCAATTAGGCATTTTAGCTTTTGAGGTAAAATTTATGTAATCTCGTGCACAGAGTAACTGAATTATTAGGAAAGAGTAGTGAATCACACAGTAGTTTAAAGCTCTTGTTTAAAGAGGGTATCTCATTAATTTACCTTTTTACAAAGGTAATCATGAAATTTTGTAGTCTTTTCATGATCTGTCTTACTTTACCAAAACTTGATGGAATAGAAAGCATTAATAATATAATTCAAATGACTCGATTGAGTTCCCATTCTGCACTTCAATCTGCATATTCAATATGTCATTTTGCATATTCATTCTGTAAATTCAATATTCCTTGTGCCAACATAACATTGGTGCAGAAAGGTTTATTCCATACTCTTACAACCACAAGAGTCCTCATGTTATACAGTGGCTGTCAAAAACCGTGTCTTGAATTCAACTTTTCTGATTACCACGTTATACAAGAACAAATATTTGAGAAATCTAATTTTCAAATTTAGCAACTTGCTCATTAAGATAAAATCTTTCATGCTCATATTTACCAGGTGGATCACATTCACATCGTGGCATCCGTGTGGGCAGTTATGATCCTGATGATCCAACACAAGGAGGAGGTGGAGGAGTTATGCAAGGCAACGGCAACGGCAATGGTAACACAAGGCGCCACAGCTCACTAACAAATCAACGTGTCTCAACGATCAGCCAAAACTACAACGAGAAAACCATGCTTCTCAGCTCAGATGATGAATTTCAGTGAACTCTTGCCAAACATGGGTGTTCACAAGATTGGTTAATTGTGCCATGTTACTTAACTGCAGATTACATTCACAGTCAGCGGAGCAGATTATGGTGTAAATAACATGAGCTACATGGGAAGAAATGTGGAAACATAATACTTATGACGGAATGGAGGAGAACTCAAATGTAGATTTGCTGATGTGAGGATGTTCATTTTTTCATGTCAATGTGTTTAATATATTCTTAAATTGTTATTTGTTTAATGTATGGAATGACAATTGCTTAACTTTGTTATTTACACCATTTACATTCATAAATGATTTATAATATCTCCATCAAGCAAGTGATCCCTCTGTAAATTTGTACTTAGTTTAACTCAGTTAAAAGGAAAGACTGCATCAATAGTATATTGATTAATATTTAGAGATAGTTTCAGCTGTAAGGAATAGTTTGGTTAAAGTCACAAGAATAGTTACTGCTTGAGGATGTTCGTTCTTCCTATATGAGAGATATTCTACTCTCATATGCAGTCCAGGAACGGCAGTCTAAATGTAATATGGAAAATATTTTGTACTTTTAAATGCTATTTTTATCCAAATGCTAGTTTAACCTTTCATTGATGACAAACTAATTGCAAAAACGCAGAGGGTAGAGAAAGGAAATATTGTTTATTTTGTAGTGTGAAAAAAATAGAATTTGATATCTCTTCTACTGACTGTGACTAACAATGTATATATTGTGCAGCTATGTTTTTCAATTTTTAACTCGTTATGTTGGCACAATAATTCACATTCCCAATAATTGGTGATCTGTATTTTTTGGAATGAAACTCACAAACCTAAAGAATCAAAGAATTTTTCATCTCAATGTGCCATGTTCCTACCTGTAAAGATATAATGTGCAATTCCTTTTCACTGACCATGACACTTGTATTCACAATGTGTCTTAGTGCAGTTCAGTTTTTAATTACATAGATCTTTTGAAAGAGCCTAGTTCTAACTTGATAATTGAAATCTAGTGAAGATCTATAAATAACAGGAAAGTTATTTGGTGAAAAAGTAATAAATATTGTGACAGTATTTCATAATATTGTTTCAAGAAGGTGAAAAGTGTAGGAAGGAGATATGATTTACTTTTCTCCTTTTTACACCCAGCTATACTAATGCTGAGACAGAAACAAAAATAAATAATTTTTGGCATCTCTGGCATGTTTCACATTCTGACATCCTTTTTTGCCATTTCATTCCATTTAAACCTTCACCATGGAATACCATACTCAGGTGGAGCATTTGTTCCACTTCTATTCGTAATGAGACTTTCCTCTGAACAGCAGGATGTTATATGGAGATGGGAGGTGGTTGAAATGGAGCACTAAGCTGGTTGCCTGTTACCTCGATGATGCAACCCCCCTCCCTTTCACATCACCTGCGTTGGAATGCTATCATGCCAAGCCTAGGCCCCATGCTGAAGAGTTAAAAAACAAACTTTCAAAAGTATATTAAGTTAAAATATCAATTTATTTAATCAGCAAGTGTGATAATTATGCACTCACCCTTATTCACTTACAAAAGAAAAATACAGTTACAAGATGTAAGTCAGTGGCAACAACATTTTTTAGCAAATTTGTTTTGGGACTTTTTTCTTGATTTAATCATTGTTTTATCTCTTCTTTTATGTTGTCTACAAGTAGTGTATTCAACGCGTAATTTTTTTAATACATTGCAGAGTCTGTAGAACTGACGTCTGAGAGAATAAAATCAAATATAGAACATTTTTCTGTAAATGGGAAAAGAATTTATGGAATGATATTACAGATTTCATTTAAATGTATTAATGAAAAAATGCCATTATAATTTTTATTTACATATCTTTTTAATATTACCCAAGATTTTTTTCCTTTTTATACAAATTTTAGGGTGTTCATTATATTTATTTGTCATGGGTTTGTAATTTCTGCCTCAAAGACATAAGTACATTTGTTTACTTATGTTTATTAGGAAAAGTACACACAGATTTCAAGTTTGATGTACATTTTCTCTCTTTTTTATTAGGAAAATTTTATTTATAATACTATACTGATATATTGACTTAATGTTTCCCAACAGGAAAAGAAAAAGCCACTTTTAATGGCCAACTTTAAGGGTTTAACAGTCCACCATCCATTAAGAACAATCAAAATAAATGTAAAGCTAAAGATGGCATATGTGTAAACTTATTCCAAGAAATGGTAATTTTTATTTTTATAATTTTTTCTATAAGATGATGGTATTAAACAAAAAATACTGAATGACATAACAGCCGATAACTCAGGTAACATACTCAGTTGGTTATTGACAGTTTAAAAACCTAGTGACTTTAATAAGTAGAACATTAGTCTATGAAATATATCAGTCAGCTTTTTGTCATTTATTTTCATTTCCAATTCTTAAACACAATCATAAAAGCATGAATACGCTATATTTAAGTGCTGATTTTTTTTTTATAAACTCAATATTAAATATTTTTGGGTAAAATTGTTTCGTAAAGAGTTTCATTTAAACCTCTACTTAATTGCCAACTTTGCTGTTATTACTGTACATCTGTCACTATTGTTGTAGTCAATGTAAATTTTTAATGCTTAACAATAGTAATAATAATAATCTGTGAGCAATATAAACCAAATTTTGTATCTTTTGAGGAAGATTTTTTTGTTGGTAAATTCCTGTCAGAAAATTGTCTCTGATATACAGATAGATAATTTTTTTCTCCAAAAATAGAAAAATTGAGTGGGGAAAGTAAAGAATAAGTGAAATTTCTCTGTTAAGCAAAGATGAAATTTAACATTTTCATATTTGTAAGATGTGTAATATTGAAAAAAAGGAAAAAAAACACTGTCTCCATTTCTTGGAATATGATTTCCAATTTGTTAAGATCAGACCAGGAAAATGTTTCCTTATAGAAAAGTCCAAATTGCAGTATCCTTATCTTCAAAAGAGTATTTATTCAATGCTTCATCATTTCCTATATAAGCCATGACTATTCCAAAAAGAAAAGTGACTATTTGATCTTCTATTTGTCTTCCTGTTGATGTAGTTCATGAAACTTTGAATGAACAATAAGAAATTTTAATATAATTCTATTCTTTAGAATGTAGGGCTCTTTTGATTATAAAGAGACTAAGGAATCTTTAGGATCAAAAGCACTTCAAAAATATTCATTTTCTTTAAAAATATCTGAAGTTAACACACATAACTGCATGATATGAGCACATCAGTCACAAATTTCTCATCAACTTACCTTCATGAAATCACAGTTTATTTCTGAGACTTGCACATGTTACTCTGCTTAAAATATAGTAAGAAGCTCAACATGGACTAGCAGAGTGCTTTTATGAATACTAGAAGAGGTTACTCAAAATAAATCATCTAACCAGGCTCTTTGTGCTTATTCATATTGTACTGGAAATTTAATTCTTCCTTCCATGAATATTATCTTCAAAATTGAAACTTCTCTGCTATATGATTCATTCATGTTCATCACCATTTATTTTGTTTTTTCTTGGGCAACTGTAAATGTTATTTCAAGATTAGTGAGGTGTGTTTAGGTGTTTGGATTTATTTTTTTATTTACTTAGATGAACAAGACTTCTGTGACTGAATTTTCTAAAAATGAAATCGATATTAACAGAAAATGAATTTACATTTGCTACATGATATGTTTTTCAGTTAAGCATTTATTAAGATCTATTATTTATATTGATTTCATTAATTAAGAGCACTAATTCATTATTACATTTTTGACTGTATTGATTAAATCTTTTGGCTACAATGAATTCGAAGAGAATTGTGATAAATTGAAACATTTTCAAAAATTCCATGGACAATTCATTTCATTTTGGTTTGCATGAACAAAAAATGTTAAATCTTCACGCCAATTTTCTTCTTTGTAAAAAACAGAGGAAGGAAATGTTGAAAAAAAACCTGTGCAAACTACTTTTGTTGTGAATAATACTTAGTAATATTGTTTTTTTTTCTTTTCTTCATCATTTTAGTGGTTGGGGTTTGGTAAGGCAAAACTACTTTTTGGAAATTAATGCCACATTTTGTAAAATTTTTGAAATATTCTGTTTCAATTAACATTGTTTGAAAATTGTAATGCTTCAACCTCACATAAACTACAGTGGTCTAGAATGAATTTACTCTCTAAATTGGAAATTATAATAACTTAATTAAAAAGTAATTAAAGTAAGATTTATTTTAATATGATAGCTTTGCTCTTTGCTTTATTTTCGACTAATAGAATAAAACAGAATGAATTGTCTTTGGAAAAGAAGACTGAAGGATATCTGTAGCTTCTCAAGTAAGCCCCAGTCAGAGATTTACTTACAAGGAAAACTATCAAACAATATATTTTGCATAATCTACAGTAGTGCATATTGATGCATTTTACTTACATTTTCCCTCAAATTTGAAGTATAAGCAAAAAACCAAACAGATGTGTGAGGCATATACACCTATACCTATGAACATATTTAAGAAATAAGACTGAATTAGTACCAACAATGGCTCTTTTCAGTGTTGCAAATGCAAAATATCTTCGTTGTCATCTCACATCTCATGGATCTTGCTGATACCTACATTTACATTAGCATTGTAAATATGTTTGCCTGACAATATATCCAGCCATATGTACAAAAACATTAGATAATTATTTAATTTGAATACCATGATACAGGCTCTATTTTCATTATTCCAATATTATTTTGAAAAATCATTAATGTAAGTTACATTGACATTTTAATTACTGTATTTACCTTTTTTGTGGGTTACATAGGCTATATTAATGAAATACATTCCACACAAACAAGAGGAAAGGTAATAACATTATCATATTTGATGAAGTTTATGAATAACATGCAATAATCAAATAAATCAATCAAATGTGCTTGTCAATGTTATGTCATTTTGCTTATTTTTGTGCATCATTTCTAATTTTCTCACAGTTAAATGGTATTCACAGTATTTGAAAGCCAGTGCACTCAGGAAATTAGCTTAGATGTACTTGTAAAACAAGAATCCATGAGGTGTAGTTGGAATAAGGGTGGGACAAATTAGTTGTTACTATCACTATCCATGTATGTAATAGCTCAACTACTGTATAAAAACAAATACTGAAAGTGTTTGGAATCATGCCAGTTATTTAGATAATGCTGCATTTGTAAAATAATATTGGAAAAGGTTGTTTGTACTAATGAGATGCACCTACCAGTGATACGAGAAACAAATTAATAAAGATTGTAGTTATGCTTCTTACTGTACCTGCTAATACTGTTACTATTAATACAGTATAATAGGAAGAGACGTACAATCTTGTGAATAATAATATTATGTATCCATTCTGAACAGCAAGTGCAAATACACTAGCTTTAAAAAAAAATTTGCAAAACTTACATTTATGTGTTTAGGTGACCAGAAGTATACAATTCATTGATATATATTTATTTTAAAGTGAAAAGTACGAAAAATCTGCTGTTTGTGAATACTATTGTGTATTAAATGTAATTTTTGGAGATCATAAAACCTCAAAAGCACTTTCTACAAATTTATTTATTATAATTTTTGTTATATGTAACTTCAGTGGTTTAAAATTCATCAGAGGTATAAAGAGTATAATATAAAATACCTAGACTTTCTTGTTGTAATGCCATGGTTAATCTTTTTTCAAGTTGTTCATTGAGAATGTTCATTCAAGACACTACCAAGCTTTGAATCATTTTTGATTTTGCTTCCAGTATTAGGTAAGGAAACAGTTGTACTTCACCAAAATTAAATTGTTTGCAGTTTTTGGTAATTGCTAAATAGTTTTATTTCAACTCAATTAGAATAATTTAAATTTGTTTCATTTTTATTAAGTCTCAATTCAGATAGTATCACAAACACCAATTTTTTTCTAAATACTGTATATGATGAGAGAGATATAATATAAATAAAGTGGAACATTGCTGTGCTATATGTAAATATCACAATAATATCGCAAATATCTTCACTAGAAAAATTCATATGAACACATGTAGATTATGTTCTATAATTGTGTATTATAAATATTGTAAATAATTTAAAATGATATAATTATATATGCCTATCAAGAAATCTTTTTTTTAAAGGAGTGGTATGTTGGGATAAGTGGTTTAAAAACATGTCAAGAGATGAGATTTACTTCCTCCTCATTAAAAAGCAGTGAATTTTCCTCCTCCATTGGGAAATCAACAATGCATCAGTGTGAAAAAAACCGAAAGAACAATTTGAAAGTAATTTCTGTTATTTCTTACTGTAGATATTTAATAAAGACATGTATGGATTTGCACAATTGAAAGGGAATTATAATGTTTAGTG